TGGGCCAGCCTCTGTGGCAAGAGAAGAGAAGACTAGAAGCAGGATTGCTGAGTTTGGTAGCTTCAGGTAGACCCAGGTGTGTTACCCTGGTATGTTATAGCAGCTCATGTTCTTCTGCAGAAAAACACAGGAACAACAGGACAGAATCGTTAATCAATTAGCTAAACAACTGAGTGAGGCATTAAAGATGGAAGATGATCGACTGGCTAGAGATGCTGCAAAAATAGAAGCTGCAGAAGAAAATAAACGCAAAGAGAAAGAAGCAAGACAGAAGGCTGCCATTGAATCTATTGCTGAATACAGAGCCACTGTGGTAAGAAACCTGGGCTGATCTTACTGCTGCTTACTCCAGCCGAGGAGCGTGGCCCAGATCACAGCTGGCTCTGGTGCCATGCCTCAGCAGGCTTCATCAAGTCCGCTGACATCTTTCCTGGGGTCCCCTCTCCCTTTCCCACTTCCATGTTGGGTGCACATCTGCCAGGGCTGCTGAAAACCCTGGGCTTGGAGACTGGCCAGCCACAATGACAGTGCTTCTCAGAGTGTTGATACAGGGCTGCTTCTGCTGAGAGAGATGACTTTCAGCTTAGCAGGACACCTCCTTTGTTAACTTTTTGTGTGTGTTTTGTAAACTACAGATTAAGATGAAAGAGGAAAAGGAGAGACAGGAAAAAGAAGAGGCTGAAAAAGAACGTGATGTGTTAATGGAAAATGCCCGCATCCACCAGGAAATGGAAAAAGCCAAGAAAGAAGGACGACATGGCACAAACAAGGAAGTACAGAAAATTCAGATCCAGCAAATAGTAAGTAGAGAGCTGTACCCTGTCAACCTTTTCAGAAAGAAACACTCATCTAAACCAACAGCACTAGTTCATGCGGAGAGGAAGAAATGAAGCTTGGTGGGTATTTTGGGTTTTTTTGTTTGTTGGGTGTTGTTTTTCTTTAAATCACGTGTGTTCTGCATATGCTGGTGTTGGAGAGCAGCCTCCTCAGAGCATTGGTGCAAGTCAAGGCTGGTTTGCAATGACAGATCACATCCTGTTCTGTGCCATGATGTTCTACTACTACTCTCCTGTATCTTCTGGGCAGGTCACCAAAGAGCAGTAGCTAATGCTGATGTTCACTCATCTGTTTAATGTACCCTTCTGGGGGCATACGGCAGGGGAGAGAAGTGGGGAGGGATGACAAGTGCCAAGTATCAATTAACAGTGCCACAGATCTCCTGTAAGCTTTTACCCTCCCTATGCTTTACAAGATAGTGATGTTGAAAACAAAATACTAAGCTTTGTTATTCCCTTTTCTTCATCAGGCTGAAAAGCAGGCAAAACGAGAGCAGGAAAAACAAGCAGACTTGGACTATGAAGCTGAGAAAGAAGCTATTGCACGTGGTAAAGAGCGTGAATTTCAGAGCTATGCAAAGCAAGTAATTGAATCAGAGTCCAAGACTACACATCATCTTTACCCTCTTCTCAAAGCATGCAAAGATGGAAGAGGACTGGGACATGGGCCATTTTTCTGAAAAGAGAAGAAATAAATACTACTTTCCAAGCATATGATGTTGCTGGGACCCTGTTATCTTGTTGTAGCTGTAATATCACTTGAGAAGTTAAAAACATGAAATAATATTTAAACTATCCAGCAAGGAAAGGCAGAAGCTGTTTTCAAGTTAAAAAAATACCTTTTTGTACTGTACAGGCAGAGTTAAACTGTAAATGATTTATATCAAATTCAACTATGAATCTCTAAGTTCATTTGGAAAAAAAAACAAAACCTGCCATATAACTGGCTATATTCTCAAAAATCCCCAGCTTATATTTCATGAATGTTAGTTTACTAACTTAAGACAAGAATGCATGTTATATAATTAACTGTCATTGTAACACAAAGAGAAAGAAGCAAAAGCTCACTATTACTGCTATATTTTTAATATTAATTGTTCTAAAAATTCAGTGTCCCAGGTTTTTCAGGTCTGTGATATGAATTCCTAGTGTAAAAGGTCACAGTTTTCTCCAGCCTACTTCCAGTTAAGAATTCCCCATAATAGAAAAGACCAAACCAAAACAACTACAGGGGAAGAAAAAAGAGAACATACGTGAAAGTTAGAATAGCTATGGTATGCAGGTTTTGTAGTATTTTGCAACTACCTCTATAAAACAAATATCATGCTATAAATTAGTTTTATTTCATGAAAATATTAATGTGATTTGTTCACAGCCCTTAAAAGGTCACATAGGAGGCAAACAGATCCCAATATAGCTGTAAATAGCAACTACAAAAGGAGCATGTAAACAGGAGACAACATAGTTGGGCTAGTCTTTCAAAAAGCCTAAGAGTGATTCAATCTACAGTAAATAGATCCGATGTAAATTTGTTTCTCAGATTCCTCAACAGATTTCTCTCTAACACCCAAGCCACTGACACATCCCCCTCCTTAAGCTTAGTTTCTTTGCTGAACTGTTAACATCACTTTCTTGCCTTGGACAGTTAGGCTTTCCAGTAATGACTTCCTCCACAAGTACCCTAGGCTTTAAACCCTATCCTGGTTTCCGCTGGAAACAAAGTCCAAGAAACTTGAAGCTTTGCTGTGTTGCACACAACCTTGTGTTCCAGCCCTGCAGCCGCGAGTCTCTGTTGGCCAGACTACAAAATTATGCAAATCCTAAAAAAACCCCTAAGCCTAAATTAGAAGAGTTTTATACAAAGGACGCTCGCCAATATTTTAGTTTGGAAAATAGGTCTTTTGTGTGTCCTCGAATTTCGGAGTCTGGCTTCCTAAAGCAACAGGCCCTGCAGAAAGCAGGACACTTGGGAAAGATGCGGGGCCACCCCGGAGGCGAGGTCCCTCCTGCAAGCTGAGGACCAAGCAGAACTGGTTTTACCTCCCCTACAGTGTAAAAATCCCCGGGTGCAGCAGTCACCTCCTCGAGGAGTCTCTTCCAGGCAGGGCAAGGGAAGAACTTCTGGAAGGAGAGGGAGGGCCGACCTCCTCACCCAGCTCCCAGGGCCACCAAGGGCCCCCAGCCCGAGCTACAGGCAGGCCTGGCGGGGTGAAGGTGGTGCGAGACGCGGCAGCGCCCGGAGCCCGGCCGGGCCCCATCGCCGCAGCCCCGGCGGGGAGCGGGCGCCGCGGGCCGGAGCACAGGACAGAGGCGGGGGACGTTTCAGCTAGCTTACCGAGGGCAAACGAGTAGCTCACGAGCGGCTTCGGAGAGAGTCCTGCAGCAGGTCGGCCTTGCTTTCCTCCTCCCTCCCTCTCTCCCGACGGAGCGGACGGCGCCGCCGCGCGGCTCCGTGGCGGGCGGGCGGGGGGCGGTGCCGCCCAGGGCCCCTCACGCCGCGCCACCCGCCTGCTCCAGCGCCTGCGGCTGCGCGCTCGGAACGGGGGGGCGCCGCGCCTTTGTGCGGGGCGGGAGAAGGAGCCCCACTCCTCGGGACAGCCGGGGCACCGGTGGGATCCCTCGTTCTCCTCGGCAGTTTCCCGGAGAAGGGAAGGGGCCGACGATGGACCTCGATGGGCCGGACGCCGCCCGCCGGGAGGCAGAGCTGGAGAGCGCGGCCGCTGCTTGAGCCGCCGGGCCGTGGCCCAGGAGCAGCTGGCGCATGTAGTCCGGCGGCGGGGCCCGGGGAGGGGGCGGGTTTGGGTCATAAACTTCCCGCGCCAGCCGCCCGCGCGCGGGCGGGCCCCGGGAGCTGGTTCGGCGCTAAACCCGGGTCGGCGGAGCTGCCCCGCGCGCCCAGCGGTGCCGTACCCAGGGCTGCCTGACTCACTGCTCTCCAACAACGCTGTCACATCATCCTCGATCCGTGGTCAGGCTGAAAATTCGTCACCTCTCCTCACCCTCTGGTTCCTCCGTGACTCTGTTCTCCAGCTTCAGAAACGTCTCTTGCTGTCGTCAGGGGCTATGTCTATCCTAATAAATTAAACAAGACTCTAAATTCTGGCACTGAGACCAAGGGGCAAAATCCTTTGTTATTGCTGCCTCCCCCAGCCCAGAAGCCTTCACATATCTAGCTAGCATGGGCAGCATGGCCATGCCTTGCACAGTGCTGTGGCACTGCTTGGAAGACAGATAGATGGCAAAGGCCCAGGTTGTACAGAGAGCGGGCTAACAATTAAACAGGCTAATCAAATTCAATATAATATTTGAGTCCATATTCTGGTCGTGTTTGCTTTTGCTAGTATAGACCAGCACCCTCTAGGACCAGCACCAGACCAGGACTGAGCTTTGGCCAAAGAATTTGGAGCTAGCTTATAAAAACTGTGATTCTAGTTTTGATCTCTGACATTCTACTTTCACTTCAAAGTATGTTAAAGTACCTGTAGATGTGCAGAATCTGTATCTGTTCATTATTACTTCACACAGTCCGTAGCTTGTTTATTCACTTCCCTTTTCCAATTTAGAATAAAGGAGCACAAGGATCAGGCATATCTGGCCAAGCTAGAAAACAAAAGAGAAGGGGAACAAATACAGAGATTGACCCAATTGTACCAACTGGAAATTCAGAGAGGAAAAGAAAAGGAACAGGAGGAAAAAGTTGAATGGCAGAGGCTGCATCATGTAAGTAACAGGAAAGCAGACAGTCCAAAATGCTTGTTTCACCTTGGCTGTGATGGTTGCACTCAGCCCACAAATCAAGTGGCCTGCAGGCAACAGGGACTGTGCTGGCACCTTCAGCAGTGTGGGATCAAATGCATCCTTTGTGCTTTTCAGAAAGGCCTCTTGGAAGCTGTTATGTGGCACCTGAGCTTTGACTGGTCTACAATGGAAAAAGTCTGCTAGAGACAGCAAGGAGATTGTCCTTGATTTGAGAACTGGATTTAGGTTCCATGTAATTGCTCTGTTTTAAGCCCACTTTTCTTTGTTAGGAAGAGGGAATAGCCTGACTATGACAGTATTTTTTAAACTTGTCTTTCCATTTATGATTGGTGATGTCCTACTTACCATGCCTACTGTTTCCCTGCCTGTGCCTGCTTGAGCAAGGAGACTGAAGTGGAGGTACTGAGATGATTGATTCACATGTGAGAGAGTAAGAGGAGAGAATTCTTGCTAAAACCCTACTTGCTTTTTATCCCCCCATACTCCTCACCCCAAATATACAAATTTTATCCCATTTCCCCCAACCTTGTATATGCAATAAAAGCCATACATACTGCCAAGCTATACAACTGCCATCACAAAATGCTTTGCATTTTGATGGTTCTATGGACTCTTACTGTTTGAGCCCTTCAGAATCTGCACTGTGTGAATGATATATGGGATGGAAATAATACAGTTGGATCTGCTGGGGAAGTAGAGGAAAGAATATAAAGATACTGTGGTTGGGGCTGCAACCACACACTAATTTTGCTTTTGTTGTAGTTTGTCATAAGTAGGTCATGAGAATTCTCTTCCATCTCTGGGTTTCTATCTTCTATAGCTTCTCCACTGATACAAAGAACTCATCATTATAGACGAGGCCTGAAGTCTTTGTTAGAACTTTTTTTCAGTTCATGTTTCCAAAATCTTGTTCTACATGAAAATAAAAGTAGTTTTCCATTTAAACAGGAATATGTAGCTGAACAGAAAGTAATTAAAGCTGAAGAGAAACAAAAAGAAGACAAAGATGATGACTGGATTAAGGCTTATATTAAAGAAATGATGGCTGATCTGGCAAGAGAAAAAGATGCAGATACTAACAGGTGGGTCTAGGGATACAGTTTTCAGTGTTAAGATTCAAACTTGCAATTAAATTATGTTAAAAATGTTACTCTCAATTGTTATATCAGCAAAATCAGAAGTTCGATGCAAGCAATTTTTCTGTAATTCAAACTTGAAGGAGAAAGTGCAGAAAAAATGCCTACCAGTTCCAGCAGGAATTGGTGCTGTTGGGGTGGAGGTGGGGTTGCTAGTGTTGTTAGGACCAGTGCCTCAGGTATCCTGGTGTGTTACAGTAGCTCGTGTTCTCCTGCAGGCTGATGCAGAAGCATACAGACAAAGCTTTTGAAAAACTATCTGCACAGATGAACAAGGCATTTAAGATTGAAGATGATTGCCTTGTGAGAGGAGCTGCAGAGGTAGAAGCTGAATACCAAATGAAAAACTAGGAGAAAGAAGCAAAACAGAAGGCTGCCATTGAATCTATTGCTGAATACAGAGCCACTGTGGTAAGAAACCTGGGCTGATCTTACTGCTGCTTACTCCAGCCGAGGAGCGTGGCCCAGATCACAGCTGGCTCTGGTGCCGTGCCTCAGCAGGCTTCATCAAGTCCGCTGACATCTTTCCTGGGGTCCCCTCTCCCTTTCCCACTTCCATGTTGGGTGCACATCTGCCAGGGCTGCTGAAAACCCTGGGCTTGGAGACTGGCCAGCCACAATGACAGTGCTTCTCAGAGTGTTGATACAGGGCTGCTTCTGCTGAGAGAGATGACTTTCAGCTTAGCAGGACACCTCCTTGGTTAACTTTTTGTGTGTGTTTTGTAAAACTACAGATTAAGATGAAAGAGGAAAAGGAGAGACAGGAAAAAGAAAAGGATGAGAGGGATCGTAATCAGTGGATGACAGAAGACAGCATCTACCAGGAAATGGAAAAAGCCAAGAAACAAAGACAGTGTGATGCAAACATGGAAGTACAGAAAATTCAGATCCAGCAAATGGTAAATAGAAGAGCTGTACCCTGTCAACCCCTTCAGAAAGAAGCATGCTTCTGAACCCATAGTACTAGATCTTGGGTGGGAAAGAGAGAAGCAGCTTGCTGTGGGTGTGATGTGCATGTTTTGTTTGGTTTTTACCTGTATGCACTGCAGCTGCTGATGTTGGAGAGATGACTGACTCTGTATCCATCCATAGCATGGCCCACAAGGGGCTTGTTTGTGGAATGAGGAAGCTGCTGCTCAGAACTTAACAACGATGATGCACATGTTTCAGAGGTTTATGAGCCTCCTCTTAGAGCAGTAGAACAGAAGCCTCTTCCAGGCTGACTTGGCCCTGCTGGTCAGGGAGGACTATTAGCTGCCAGGGCTGCTAATAAGAGATCAACAATGACAGACCACATCCTGTCCTCCTGTGCCATTGTGCCATTTTTTCAACCATGCACTGCTGTCCTCTCATATCTTCTGGGCAGGCCACCAAAAAGCAGCAAATGCTGATGTTCACTCATCTGTTTAATGTACCCTTTTTGTGGGGAGTACATTAGGGGAGAGAAGGGGGAGTGATGATACTTGCAAAGTATCAACTAACACCACTGTAGGTCTCCCATAAGCTTTTACTCTCTCTAAGCTTTACAGGATAGTGATGTTGAGAACAAAATACTAAGTTTTGTTATTCCCTTCTCCAGGCTGAAAAGCAGGCAAAAACCCAGCAGGAACAGCAAGCAGACTTGGATTACGATGCTCAGAAACTGCTTTTCATCAGGATCAAGCATTTTGGAGATAAAGACAGTGAGTAACTGAATCAGTGCCATTACTAATGTAATTTTTATTCTCTTCAAGCATCCAAGGAAGGAACAAGATGTGTCCTAACTAGGACAACTGCAAGAGTAGTGGAATGGATACATATGCAGTATTAAAAAAAGCAATGGGGGGAGCAAGGAAAGATGGTTGATGTAATGCTGTCCATTTTTTTCCTGCCACATGTCTATGAGCCCCCAGCTTGCTCCAGACTGAGCAAACACTTGGCATTGTGCAGGAGTATTAGAGCCTGCTTTGCCCCTCACAGCCCTGCCTAAAGTGCAGGGCCAAGAACTCTCCTCAGGGCCAACACAGACCCTTGTCTTGGTCAGTCCTGCTGCAGTCTGGGCTGCTGCACTCTTTGGACAGCAGAACATGGCTGGGTGGAGCTCACTGACTCTGTACCCATGTCAGTTAGCATGGCCCATTATTCTGTGATGTGAACCAAAGCACAGTAAGTAGGAATAATCAAGAGACTTGTTTCAAAACCTCACTTGTGACCTAAAGTAAAATAGTAACATTTCTGCACTATCAACTAGAAGTCACAGAGAGTTCTCTCCTCTTATCTTGAAGTAATTAATTTTGGAAATTCTATATTAAAAAAGAGACATGACAATTAGCTAGTGACAGTCAGAAAAAAGCAACATGTACTGGAAGAAGCAAGCATTACTGGGCAGACCAGTAAAAATCCAGCAACTGGTACAGTGGACAAGGGCAAAATTAGACTATCTTTGGTAAAGCTTACAGGACAAGTATTTCTGCATTAGTTTCAGTTACAAGCTATCACTGTGTATACAGTTAAGAGTAGCTACTAATTATACACCTAAACTCTGTTTCTTTTTTCTTCAGAAATATATTTGACTACTATCTAAGTATCTACAAAGGAAAAGGAACCTTGCCATTCTCTCCTTCCAAGTTCTATATGCCTGCAAAACCTATCAGTGCCCAATAGCTGAAGCTAACTCTGGAGCAAGTTACAAAACATGCTGTTTGCCAAAACCTGCCTATACTCAACTTCAGCTCAAGAAACAAGTGCCATAGTTCACAACTGTACTTTAACTAGTCTAATTTTATTATGGAACAAAGCAGTAGATTCACTTTTTACAAAGTCAAGAGGTAACAACCACAGGTAAACTATCAGTACTGTACTCCTAGAGTATTGCTGGGCCTCCAGCCTTAGTTCAAACCTTACGTTTTGGCCTAAAAAAAAAAGTCTTACTGAGCAAACAATAAAATTGAGTAAGCTGTTTAAAACATCTGCGTTTTAAAACATCCGTGTTGACTGTGTCTTTTATTCGTGACAGTTTTCTACTCACTTTTACTTAGGAGAACATATTGGAAGGTAGAAATACTATCTTGAGAAGTTGTGGCACTGGCTGAGTCTTTAATCCTTTATGGGAAAGAAATGTCTGCAGTAAGACTGTGTGTATCTAGTACTCCAGCTAAGCTAACTGTAGGGCATGGGAAAAACACTTCCCTGCTTTCTCCTAAACACTCTGCTCTCAGCTTAGCCAGGATGCCAGGCTGACATACTGCTGTAGGTGACTTTTTGATCAAAAGTTGTTCTTCCACTCGGTTCTAAACTGACTGTAAGCTGTTCTACCACTCCATTTACATTCACATCGAACAAGCAGTTCTTCTGTAACTAGTGAAAACTATTCTGCTTCACACACGCACACAGATTTGCATTTGTGCAAGTACAAGATCAAAGCTGGCAACAGGCAGAGTTTGCAATTCAGACACAAGATCAGCTTCACTGCATGGCTGCATTTTTATATGTTACAATATATAGATAGTGAATAGGCTGTCATTTGCCATTCCGTAGTAGAAGCTCTTAATTGCACCTACTATTAACACTGTCATCCAGTTCAACATGGAATAAAAATCTAACTTCACACTTCCAGTAAAAACATACAGATCTTGGTTTAACTGAAGAGGTCCTGACATCAAATCACTATGGCCTGTAAATCTGTACTAACAGTACTGCCACTCAAAAGGCTGGAGATTGGACTCTCAGAAGCACATTTAGCCTGAGATCAGCTCAGCTGGTTACAGCACGGTGCTAATAATGACAAGGTTGTGGTTTGATCCCTGCTTGGGTCAATGATCCTTATGGGTCCCTTCCAACTCAGAATATTCCGTGAATTTGCATGCACTTAGAAGTGAGTATTTCTCTAAATGCAGAAGATGCTAATACTGTGAGAAGCACACGTGGCAGACATGGAATACACTAACAAATATGCAAAAAAGTATTTATTTCTGAGAAGTACTTTAGTGCACAAGTTGTACAATTTGTATCAAGAACTCATTCTCCCAGCTGACAACTGGATCATCTTCCCTGTTAGGGAGTATAAATTACAAAAGACTAAGAATAATTACAAAATACTCTGATAAATGCTACATGCACAATACTGCCAGTATAACCAACAATTATTTTAGCTGAAGGAACCCAGCTATCACCTAGTTCCTCCTACCACTGTTCATAAATTAATATTTCTAAATTTTCCAACCCTTCCAACCATTCTTTTCATTAGCAGCTATGGCTAAAGCCACACACAGACTTCATTTTATAATGGGGATATGTCTAACTTTCTGCCAAAAATAGCAAGTTTCCTTAAGTGCTTTACATGTTGCAAAATTTAAATTCAGAGTTAGGGTGCTGCATTAATTCAGTTTATTTATTTAGTCTTTTTAACGTGTTAGTACTTCTATGAATACAAATATAAATTTTAAACTAATCATACGCATATACAGCAGTTCAAGACCTCTCTTCTGAACATACTCATGTTAACTGCCCTATTAGTTTTATTTGAGCAATGACTTTATGATTAAGGAAAGACACTAATTTAATTCTTTAACAAAATGTACCTTTATGTAGTTTTGCTATCTAAACTCATCACTTTTATTGTATTTTTTACTGCTGTTCCTTTTGTGAAATTTCATACTAAAACTGGAAAACATTTTCACATATCTTAAAAAAAAAGGCAGGTGAAGATTACTTTTGGGTTTTGTGCAACAAAGTTTTGTTAGAACAGTGTTGCTAATTACATGAATTTTTCAAGGGTAAGAAGTAAGAATTATACTAAAAGTACATATGCTGTCAAAATGGAAGGTTAGTTTTATGCTAGGTAACTACAAAACTGTACCAAATTAAAATTTTGCAAAATGCTGAGTTCACAGATTCTTGATATGCATTTTCTTTGATAATTTAGCTAAATACTGCATTAGGAAAATTACTATTTTCAGCAAAAGAAGGAAAGTACATGTAACAGTTATTTACATTTCCATTACATTGACTCTAAAAGTGTGAAGATTAATTTTGTCACTGGTATCCTCCAGTTTAAGTTGAACATTAACAACTACAACAAACCCCCTCACCAAACAAACAAAAAGAAAAAACAATAAAACCCACAAAAAACACCCTAAAACCACAAAAACCAAAAACCCCAAACAAAACAAACAACCCCTCAAAAAGACTTTCGTGGCTGCTGCTTTGATAAAATATAGTACATATATCTTTAGATTTTCTATTAGAAGGAAAGTCCTAAAAGCAGGAATATACATTTTTGTCTATCAGAAAAGCAATAAGTCTACTATGCCCCTAGAGGTGTGTCCAAAAATACTTTATTTGCTTCAATAAATCAACAGTTCCAGAAAAGGCAGCTAAAGGACTGCTTTGTTTGTGTTTACATTAATCTAAAATCCACTTGCCAGACTGACACTATTACAAATCAGACTTTGTTAGGGGATCACTGCAAAGTCTTCAGGGCATATGACAAAGAACACTGCAATAAAAGCCCGTAGTGTGGGATTTCATGTACAAAGCGCAAAGTTTCAGGCTAAAATTCTAACCACCAGATAGAACAGAGGGTTAAAATGTAACCATTGCCTTTTTTCTTTCTAAATAACAACCAACCCAAACAAACAGGGCAACAACTGAAACACTGTGTCTGTGTTAAGGAATTAGCAGACACCAACACATTTTTTACAGGTAATAGTGTCTACACAACCTTAAATTCTATCTACCCTCCTCAGTAAGAATTTCTGCCTCTGAGTTGGTGGCAGTACCCAGAAATTCTAGCATCAAACAGTCTCTTTTTGATGAAGTTTGTAAAGCTACTGCCAATACTAATTTCAGCATTTCGTGTATATACAGGCTGTATGGTATTAGTAAAATGTCGGTATCTATTGTCAGTACAACAGAGAATGCATGTCTAGCCTTTGGAAGTTATTTCAAGCCTGTATGTACACCTAAACACATGCTCACAAAGCTAGTCCAGTAATCCTTGCCCTCATTTTACCTTGTGTCTTAGGGTTCACAAATTCTCTGGAGTAGGATGAGTTCTGGGGTACAGCAGAAAAACTGTATTCTGCAAGTACTACTTTTTTCTGCATTCACAAGGAAAGACCATGAACTTTCCCCCCTGCCCCCCTCTGGTACACTTACATATTGCTTTAAAATACACTTCCAGATCAGTTCTCTGAGGCACTGAGCTAAACTGTGACTACAGCACCAGTGGTTACTGTGAGGCTGAGAACAGGAAAGCTCTGCCATTGAAAGAGGAAACAGCTCAAGGACTGCAAGAGCAGAAGTCAGTGCCTCCTTATCTGGCAGCAAGAACTGACTGGTGCTTGAAGACATCTTGCTGTCCCTGGGATTGTGCTTCGGTCCCACCAAATTTTTAATCAACATTCTCAGTTTCCAGTTTGATAAAGAAATGCATGAATCTGGCAAACCCTCCCTCGTACAAGACTGCAGTTGTGTTTCAGTTTAAACAAAGTGATCAGCACTACACCAATTTACCATCAAATATGATATACAGGCAAGGTATGCACTCATCAAAAGATCAAGTGTATCCCACCATGTGCAATTTAATGTAACCAGCTTTTAAAAAAAACATACATTAGAAACAAGAAAATGAGCTTTGTGCCACCAACTCAGATGAATTTTTGAAGTGCTATGGAAGAATTAGAGTTCCTTTAATTTGTACAAATAATTTTCTGAATTGTAACAAAGAAAAAAGTCCACATGAAAGGGTACAGAAGTGCATATTTTGAAATAACTAGTTACAACTGCAAGCTATAACTGGATATAATCTCCATTTTGAGATTTTAAATTAAAGACTGTTGTTTTGGTTTTTTTTAACAATTTCTATGTATTACTGTATTGCTGACTGCTTGCATTTCCTCCCTTCTACAGCAGTCATTATAGTTGCAGACTGTTTTGTTTGCATGCTTATACGAGCTTTAGTGGTATTGGCAAGAATATTCTCATTAGTGCAAACATACTTTTTCAGCAACAGCTTGTGTCTCAGCTCCATTAAAAATAACGAAAGAACACTGCAAACAGATTTTAAATGAGACTTTGAAGCACATGGCATGCATAGCACAGTATAAATGCACCAAGGAAGGCTTTGTTTGGGCTGCCACACAATTTCCGAAGCTTAACTTCCTACCTTTTTCTTACTACAGTCCCCCAAAATAGGACTACAACTTCTCCAAAGTCCTCCAAAGTTCAGACAGAATAGGTCCACTACACAGGTCTTTGGTTCACTCCTAAGTTCTCTTAAGTAACAGCTGTATCATCCAACCACATGTGGACTTGGGAACATTTTTAAACATTCTGCATAAAATGACCACTCCTCTGCAAAATTCATACTAAAACATAGGGGAAAAGCACTTGATAGCCAAAGCAGCTCCACTAACTATTATGCTAGAAAGTAACTCAACATACTTCTAGTTTTCTTCCTTTAAAAATGCTGCTTAAGTTGTTCATAATCCTCTGTTTTCTTTTGCTTTCAAGACAAAACTTTTTTCCTTTGGAGTAACAACTGCTGGATCACAATGTAAAGCCAAGTTTCAGCAATTCTGCTAATCTGCTGTAAACATACACTGTTTACACACTGATCATAAACTGGCTTATAGAGTGAAAATGTTGACAAGCTCATAACAAAGACAGTAAAAACAAATTATGTCACACGGTGAAAGATTTGGCAAAAATTTCAACTATTACAATATTGTCTTGCTTTGACACAGCTTAACATTAATGCCTGTCACTTCTCTTCAGGATTTTAAAGATTTGCCAGCCTTTGGTGTGAATAGTTCAAAGGACTGGAAGGAGTGTTGGTGTTTGTACCAAATCTCTCCTCCTGTTGGCCCACTGTGTTAAGTCACCACACACCAGCTGCTCTTTGGGGACGCACACACTGGGACACTCCTGCAGCAACACAAGCCAAACTCTTTCTCTTT